CCATGGAGGAAGGGCAGTATGTCAGACTCTCTTCCCCCACATATGTACTGGATCATGTTTTTCCTCAGGGGCACTTATACCTCCAGCCACCTAACTAGACGCTACCTAACAAATGTCTATTGCTATAAACAATGAAATGGGTATACGTACTATGCATGCCAAAAGCACACCCTCCCAGAAAGGGTGTCTGTTTATTTTGTGCTGATAGCTCTGCTACAATTATTGTGTGTTTTTAAAAAAGATAATAATCACATGTCCTTAAAATGTACTTTTTTGGGGGGTTTTGTAATATACCCAAACCAATTGCTTTGCACCTTGCTGAATCTTGCCCATCCCTTCAGTGAAATCTGAAATGGTTCCTTTAGCATCTGGCATTCAACTGGAGTTCTTTAACATTCCCACTTTTAAAAATAAAACAAAACCCCATTTAGATGTATCTGGAGTTTTCCAGTTTTAAAAAAATTAAATGACTTGCAAAAACAAAAAAGGGATTCATGGAAATACACCTTCCACAAACAGTAGCTCGTATAAATATACATACATACATATCACATTATCCTTTTGAAAACCACTTACTGCAGAGGTGTCAAACTCATTTGTTACAAGGGCTGGATCTGACATAAATGTCTCTTTGTCGGGCGGGGCCACATTCACCATAAAATTTAATGCCAGGTACGGGAGATAGAAACTTTAGAAAGGACAGCAGCTTGTAAGCTTCAAGTTGGTGTATCCTCAGTGCAAGGCCGCATGGGCTGGGAGGGGGGTGCAGAGGAAAACCCACATGGGCAGACTGGAGAGGCAGCAGTGCAGCGCTGGGCAGATGCCCCCAACAATGCTTGACTGTTGCAGACAAGGTTGTTCTGCCTTGTTGAAGCCACAAGGGAGTGGCTCCGCCCACTCCCCCCCAGCACTCCTTCCCTTGCATCAGTTGCTCGCGGGCCGCATAAGAACCGTGGACGGGCCGGCCCCCGGGCCTTATGCTTGACACCCCTGATTTACTGTATATGAAAAATGTAAAATATCACTCACTAGGAAAAAGGCCCATTGTGGAAATAAATACAACGGCCTCTAGAAAGAGGCTCTGGGTGGGTGCCCCGGCCTTGGACACTCAGTGTCAATTTGCTGTGGCGACCTCAGCAGGGTATAATGACACTGAGTCCACCATTTTCTCCAGAGGAACTGATCTCTGCTGCCTAAAGAACAGTTGTAATTTTGAGGGATCTCCAGCCCTCACCTGGAGATTGGCAACGATGGTTCCCCAGAAGGGAAGAGTTGGTTTGGAGGATGGGGTCTATGGCTTTGTACCTGTCCGAGGTCCCACGCCTCCTGAAACCTCACCCTCTCCAGGCTCCATCCCTCACCTCTCCAGGAATTTCCCACCTGGAGTTGGCAACCCTATCTCCTTCCCAGCCAATTATCAACCTACCTTTATTTCCCCCTCACTCTTCAGCTTTCCACCCCCCACACACCTGCAGCCTCTCCCATGCTCTGAAGCCCTGACTGCTACGTCACATTGGCTGTCATACGGGGGCCACCTCAGCAGCATATAAGGATACAGAGACCACCATTTTCTCCAGGGGAACTGATCTCTGCCATCTGGAAAGCAGTTGTAATTCTGAGTGATCTCCAGCCCTCACCTGGAGATTGGACACATTTTACCTCAGAACAGCAAACTGTTTAGAATGTTAGAGGCAAAAGCCAATCAGGGGGGAGAGGAAGAGCAAAATGTTTAGAATGTTGGAGGCAGGACTCAGGCAAAGCAGCCAGTGGATAGGGAGACCCTCTGAATGACAGATCAGAGAGTGAACTGATTTTGGAGCGTGTGGAATGTTCTAGAGAAGTGCCACCACCATTCGGCTTTTATTTATAAGGGAGAAGGGAGATTCTGGGCAAGCAATGCCTGGGGGGGCTTAGGTCTGTTCCTACCCCCCAACCTACATTTCTCTCAAGGGTCCTTCCAGCAAAACCACTTGCTGGCCAGGTATGCACATATTCACAAGTGGGTGCTTAATTACTACAAAAACCCGGTTTTTAATAATCTATGTGGTCAGCATTTGTAATGACACTGGCACTGAAAGAGCACAAAGTGACTTCAAATCAGTGGCTCAGGGTAAGTTTCCGCTCCTCATTAACCAGCATTATGTTTCAGAAAATGCACCAGTCATGAAGACTGGAATACATTGTTCCCAACCGCAGACACAGGACCTTGGGTCTGATTCACCAAGGCCATCTTTTCTGTTTTGAAACCTTTCTTCCTTCCTCTTCCCCCACTCAGTATAAGGAGCCTGTGTGGGATACTAGATCCATAATATGTAGATCCATTCTAATGTTATGGTCTACACAGTCTGTTTCTGGGTTCCCCGCTGATTTCTAGAACCTGAGCTGCGAGTTCTTCTCAATTCTCACACACGCAGTGCCTGATTTGAATCAAGAGTGTGTTGAGAAGGGGCTTCAGTTTTGCTTCCTTTCATACCATTTTCCCAGCCTGCAGTGGTCTCCCGGGGGGGGGGCACTATTTGCCTTGCTGGGGAAACCAACGCTTACCCGGTGGGGCAAACAGTACCTCCCCAGGGCCATTTCAGTTCGGGAAGACGGACCAAGGGGAAAGCTGAGGCAGTGGTCTCGATCAGAAACAAAGCACCCTGTGTGTGGGAACCGAGCGGAGCTCTCGAGTCGCATCTGACTGAAAGACTGAGTGGGGAATGCAGACACAGCCCATGTAGACTGTAATATGCGAACTGACTCAAATTTACATACAATGCTCCTATCCTATTTAGAATGGCTTGCTTGTGGCTTCTTGTAATTTTCCTCCCAGACATTGATTAGGCTTGTGCCTACTTGGCTTCAATAAAATCGGGCACTCTTAGAACACTTACCAGAGAGACGCCCAGGCAGGCTGTGTTCAGGGGTCATGCACAAACTCCCATTTGTTAGGGACAAGAATGAACCTAGCTGATTCTCAGGCTGTGAGGCCCCTTCCATCCCACCTCTGCACAGGGAGCACAAACTGAAGATCTCCTGAGTTAGGAAGTCTTTGGCCCAACCAGAATTTACTATAAGCTCTGAATATAGGCCCTGTTCACACAGCGAGTTTGCCGCGGGAGAGCCACGATTGGATGGTGGGTTTTTCCGGGCGCGATCACACCACAACATCTGGCAAGCACCTGTGGCCAACCCGTGGCATGCCGCCGAAAATGCGCCATAAAAAACCCTCCTCGAAGGTAGTAGCAAACGGTTTGCCACGGGCTGCCTCCAGACTCCCTTGGTGTGATTGCGCCGGCGCGGCTGTTCCCTCCAGCCGTCTTCATTGCCGCGCACACGCCGAGGGTCAGGACCGTGGGTTGCCGCCGATGCGTCTGATTGCGTTATCGCATGGCTAACTGCGGCGCCGCAAATAGCCACGCCTCCCCCCCCCGCGTTTTCCGGCCTGTGTGACCGGGGCCTGAGTCTCTTAAACAAAGAACAGCTTATTTCTTACTCACACCCCAAGATTCTAAACCAGGGTTTAGAACCCCGGTTTATATGTAAGAAGCAACCTGCATCTTGCTAAAGCATGACAAATGAGAAGCTACAGCAAATTATGGTTATACTGAAGACTTCCTCTCAAAGAAACCTTAAATCTCTGCTCTGCATGTAACAGGATGAAGGGGGAGGAAAGAAGAGGAAGAGTGAGGAATGCATGAGCTTGAGGACACACTAGGATTGTCCTCAACTTGAACAAGCCAAAATTTGCTCCCCTCAAAAAATGCAAATTTTGTTTGTAACACCTTCAAGAGATTTCCCTAAATGTCTGTTGCCTAAAACTAAAGTTGAGTTCTCTGTCTCTGGCACCTCACTTGTAGTCATGCTTATGGGAAAGGGTTTAAATTTAATGCGATAAAACCAAAACCATATTGGTTCAGAAAGTAACACAAGTTGCAACATCCACATTAAAACCCTTTCAAAGAAAACACATAGCAATGTCATAAACTACTCTGGGCTGCAAATTAACTCACTGTCATTCTGTTGAAGTAATTGCATGTACTCAAGGAGCCCATTTTCGTACCACATATCTCAGTTTTTCAGTGACTACAGATCTTTTTTATTCTACACTTATGTCTGTTCTTGAGTGGAGACAACAGGAAAATGCAGCAGATCCAATGGATTGGAACAATTTCAAGCACTGCCATCCGCTATTTCTCAAAAGATTTTAAAAAACTGCTAAATGGCCAGTGGTTATGAACATGCAGGTTGAGGTCTTTCAAAACATATATGGAGATAAGCCCAAGAACATTTCCTGTTCTTTTAGCACAGCTAGCAGTGCAATTAGAATCTATGACAAAGGATAACATATAAGGACAGGCAGAAAAGTAATTTCAGTTAAGAAACAGGTGACCTTTATTCACCAAGGAGAACAGCCATATGATTCCAGCATCAGATATCCTGTGCCTTTAATTAGAAGAGGAGCCAAGCAGCTAAGGTTCAATTCTGTGTCCTTTAATATCCATCAAAACAATCCCATCCATTTTTGCTTTCCCTCCCCCAATTGCCACAGATTATGAAAAGCAGGCTGAGGTTTCTTCCAAATGTATACGTGGAGAAGCATTAGAAAATACAGTTCTACAGTTAGCCAAGTTTTTCAGTTCTGGAGGACCAACAAAGAGGTTTCTGTTGATGCCTTTATTTCTGAAATAAAGGCTCTCTCCCACATTTGGTGTTTTAACTATATAGTTCTTAGCCACCTGATCAGTTAGCTCACCATAAGAAATAATGACATACTCATGTAGGTGCTAAACTGAAGGCTCAGGCAGACATGTCTCATTCCATTCATAAATGTGTATTTACAGCCTTGTGCAGCCTCGGTTTGCCTCAGGGCTGTGCAGCAAAAGGAGGGGGAATTTAACCTTTCAGTTTCTACTCAATTTCACTATTTGAAGCTGGGCTATTTACTTTGTTATTAGCATTTTAAAGGGAAAAATGCATCTTCAAAGGACATATATTTTCTCTTTTAAAATATTAATAATGAATCAGGGACCTGGTTCCAAGTAGCTAACCAATGCCAACCAGGTTCCATCATAATCACACTGTGAAACTGACTTTAAGCCATGGTTTCAAATACTAGCTAAAATGGGGACTGCAGAGGAAGGAAATTGAAGAAAAGAGTGTATGTGTGTCCCCAAGTTTAGCTTCCAGTTTGCATATGGTTTTGAAGGAGCCAGTGTTATACCTGCACTAACCTACTCATGTCAAAATAGGTCACCACTGATTTCTACCATCAGCCCTCAAGGAGACTCACAGCAGTGTAACCTAATAAAACCACAAAATAAATCATTAAAAATGCTTGACAGATACTTTGGAAACCCATTTCTGGCTGAGATCACAAAGCCATTCACTGCATGTATAATAAATACTGCCGTCTCAAATCAGTGAATACCAGGCTAGATGGAGAGGCAACACCTTACTTAATGCTTATGCACCATCACAAAAACGGGCAACACATCTGCTAATTAGATAACGTCCCAGCTTTCTCGGTTAGATACTGCTTGGGATAGTGCCAGATTCTCTGATTTCTTCAGCTACTGGATCACATAACCGCTGAGCAGCAATATGGACCAGAGATGGCTGAGATATATCAAATACTAACACAAAACGTGGCAGCTGCAGCTGACGACCTTGACCTAATTGTCATTATCATCATACCTGATAGATGTCTCTTATACAACCTATACTGCAAATGCAAGCAGATGTTTTTCTGGTGGTGGTGGTGAAGATGATGATGATACAAATTGTAAAACCTCTGGCCATAATTGGATGAGCTAGAGAAGTGAGGCAGGTAAAAGAATCTCAGATTCTAGACAGAGACAGGGAAGGCAGGCTAGAAGACACTTTTGCCTGCAAAATTAGAAACAGAGACTGAGAAAGCAGAACACCAGTGAAAATAAAGGGGCTTTCGAAAGTAGGAGAAAAGGAGTGGTCCAGAGAAATTTGGGGAAGAGAAGAAAACCAGCATTTGTTGGCTTATTTAAAAGATTTATATGCTATACTCATTAACTAAAAATCCATGATCATACTTACCAGAAATGGCTTCATGACATCTAGATTAGCCTGGAACACCTTCTCTGCAGAAGCAAGTTTATCCTTAGGCATTAGGCAAATCAAGGCATCACTGAACATAGCTACCGCTGGGTTTGGGATAATAACAAACTCAGACAGCTTGGTTGAATTGCAAAGGTCTTCCACCCTCATTTGGTAGCCAGATGTAATGATCTAGAAGAATTGACCAGAGATTACAAAATGCCCTCCCTACATAACTCCTGAGATTAAAGTTAAACGGCCTTTTCCGTACATACTATTTTTGCTTTTAAAGATTTAAAGAACTACCATCTTTTGCTCTAATTGCTTTCTACACTGGACTATATGCATCTTACATGACATGTGAGAATGTAACTCACCCGCTGGAGATTGATCTTAGAGTTCAGTATTTCATCCACTGCAAATCTTGGTATGGAAGCATTACGATGGAGGAAGTCAGAGAATGTCTCGTTGGCAACCAGGAAATCCCGGAGTTTCACAGCTGCCAAGTGATAAAAAAGCCACATTCTATGTTTATTTAAAACAAATCATAAATTATGTCCAAAATTACAGGCTTAGACTGGTTCTCCACCAGGAGCTCTGGGATCTATTGTTCTACGTCAGAGTTTCCCAACAGGAAATTATTCATCAATACCCTTACCAAATTATAACTAACAAGGTTGTAACAGGGAAAGCCATTGACAATTAAACTGAGATTAAACTGAATCATTCCCATCCTGTCCACAAGTGTAAAGTACTTACACACATGCACAGGGGCGCATTGGCAGTGGCTGCTTGCATATCATAGGGATGCCTCTCTGGTATGCCTCTGACTTTGTGGGGCCTTTGGGGGAAACAGGCCAGGGCTCATTAGCAGAAGATCTGCTTTGCACACAGCAGATTCTAGGTTCATTCCCTGGCGCCACCTCCAATTTAAAAAGGATCAGGTAATAAGTGACACGAAAAACCTCGACCTCAGACCATGGAGAACTATTGTTAGTCAGAGCAAACTACTGAAAGACCAGTGGTCTGACCCAGTGTAATATAAGGTTTTCTCTAGAAGGGGTAGCAGGAAACCCTTTGTGGGCATGCAAAACACTGTGCTCCATGGTATGAACTTTAAAATAATTACATCTGATAGACATGGCAGGCAAGAAGAATTACAGAGTAGATTGTGGACAAGAAAGAGAGCAGCATATTAGCCAGCAGAGAGGGGTGTGCAGAATTCTACCCTAATATTGCTAGATTTCTCAAGACTTATGTTCTTATGACTCTTTTGGTCTACATCAAAATTCCCCAGATGTTCAATTTGAATAGGAACCCACAAATTCACTTTGACTGTTTGCTTTAGGCAAACCAAGTGGCAATTTAGGAGTCTCTCTCCCCACCCTGCCTGCTAATCTTATCAGAATGACTTCTACCTCTCTTGGAATTCGTCAATGTGCTCAAGGCAGGAGGCTCCAACCTGGCCTTGAAATTTCACTTTAGATTAAATTTGGTAGCAACTCCAGGTGTCCATGAACCATTATGTAATGGTGGAAAGTGCCATCAAGTCACAACTGACTTATGGCCACCCCGCAGGGTTTTCAAGGCACAGTAGCCCTCATATACTTCTGAGATGGTTTTTGTAATGCTAAAAATTAGATCTTTGAAGACAATCTCATTATAACGTCTTTGCTAAAGCTCCTTTTTCATATTTTTGTCAAGCTTGATTTTTACTCAAGGTGAAGATGAACACCTAACTCACGGTGAGTTCGGGAGTGGTGGTTAAAGCCATCTTCTAGGGAAACTTAGGCCCCGGTCACACGAGAGGTTTTGGGCCGGTAGAGGGACGGAACGGGGACGCAGCAAACGTGCAGGATCCCACAGCAACATCTGGGAATCGTGCTGCTTGCGTCCCCGATCCGCCCCTTCCACCCAAAACCCCACACCAAAACAGAACCACCTACCTTGGTGGTTCGTCCGAGAAGTGCGCCCCAAGCCCGGCCGTGGGATAGCCGGCGCGTCCTTGCGCCGGCGCATCCCCGGCCCCTGGTCGAACTGCGCATGTGTGAGCATGCGCAGTTCGCCAGCCTCCCCTTCCCACTGTAGCTTTCTCCCCGGCATCTGATCGTGCCGGGGAGAAAAGGTGCCGCGGCTCAGGGGATCTGTGGGATCCCGCCGCGGCGTCTCAACTTTAGTGCGGCTTTTAGAAGCCGCGCTTTGAGCGAGTTTTCCCCTGCCGTGTGGCAGGGGCCTTAATTCACCATTATTGAATATTATTCTGAGGAACACCTAAAGTGCTTCCAAGAAACCTCAAGGCACACACTTTTGGAAAACAGCTGATCTAAATTACATGGCCCATGCATGTAATCATGTGTATGTGTGTGTGTTAAGCCTGAAAAGTAGATCTGTGTAACTCCAAAGCTGCTGTCCTGCATTTTAAACACTCCTCAGTCCAAATCGAGATGCATTGCTTCTGTTTCTTGAACTGTGGAAACCTATATGGCTTAGTAAGGATTTCACCCACTGGTAGCTGACAGAAAACAACAAAACAAGCTGCAATGGCAACAATATGAGGTAGCCTGCGTTCTTTCACACTGCCGGATCCTGAGAGGGCAGCAGCTGCCGAGCCACAAGGCCATCTGAGATTTTTGACATGTTAATTGGCTCAACCGCTTACAAGAAGAAATGCACAGTGTGCCAAAAGGCCTGCAACGAGAACTCCATAAATCTCAGAGCTGAGAGGGAGGACGAGAAAGACGAAAGGCAGAGATACAGCTTGCTATGAAGAACAGACTCTCCTCTCTCTCTCTCTCTCTCTCCTTACAGCATTCACCATTAGTATTGTGTTGTTCAGACCTGACTTGGCAGGCTACCAGTCTGGTCTAGAGAGTTATGAAGGGGGAAGAAAGAAACGCTTCCTATTCTTCGCCCAAACACGAACGTTCTCCGGGGTTACTGTCGGTCAATGCTCTCTAGCCTAGTTCTCCGATTACATGTTCCCTGTAGCTTTTTTTGTTCTACAAGCAAAATAATCACTGTCGCCAGAGGGCCTGAGGAGAAAGCTGCGCTGGAACCAGCAGGAGGTTACTTCAGGATGAAAACTTTTCAGAACTATTTAACAGAATACCCCGTTAGAAGAGGGGAGGTTGGAAAAGAGAGAAATTCCTCAAAACTGAGCCCTGGAACTCCAAGGACAAAAACTAAAATGCATGCATAGCTGTTGCTTACTTGGTTTTAAAAAGGAAATTTGTATACGGCTTTTCAGCTAAGGTTCCCAAAGCAGTACACAAAAGCAATCAATTTTTTTAAAATAATCAAATTAAAAAATCAATATAACAGTCTAACAAAACAACCAAGAGCAGCGATAGAAAAATATTAAAAACAATACCGCACAATGGAAAAGAATTGTCCTAATTAATTAAGGAGCTAAGCAGTCAGGGGGAGGGCATATTAAAACTCAGGGACAAGAATTCAAAAGCCTCTCTTTCCCCCAAAATTATTTATTTACTACATTGTTATCCCCACCCGTCCTCCAAGGAGCTCAGGGCGTTGTACATGATTCTCCCCTCCTCCACTTTATCCTCAACAATCACCCTGTAAGGTAGGTTAGGCTGACTGGTCCAACAAACTTCATAGCAAAGGGAGACTTGAACACACGACTAAAACAGGGCCACCAAAGATAAGGCCTTGGGATACCCAGTGCAATCTCCAGCATCCATATCATACTCTGACCCAAACACTGAGCTATCTTCAAAGGCAGGCTTTTGGGAAGGAGAAAAGAAATGACCTAACAATGCCTACTACTGTTCACCATCAGCCTTTACATAACTGTACCACAGGTGTCAACTAGGCCATTGGTGATGCTTGGTGATAATCTGTGGGAAAAGAATATTTAACAACACCTCCATCAGGGACCACTGCAAGTTTTTCTTGCAAAACTGCTGGGCATGCAAAGGAAATCCTCAGAATGATTCATCCAGGAAGGCGAGCAAAGCTCATCCTGGGTGGCACACAGCCTTGGGATTTCTTTTTCCCACTAGGGTTTTGATCAAAGGCTCTGCACACATTCAGATAATGGAGGATTTCAAGGCATCTGCCTCGATCCTACTTAATGTTATCTGAATAGCCCTGGATAATGCTACTTTGGATGCTCGCAGTTTCGAAGCCATTAATAAACTTAGTAAGATCAACAGGACTGACTCACAAACTCAGAATATTTAATGTTCACTGATTGGGACCAGTGCTACCACACACACAGTGTTTCCAGTCTGCAGAGACTACACATATACACAAGCTCGCCATTCTGCTTCATAATTTATAAGAAGGAAGCTGTGCCAGGGGAAAAAAACCCTAGACCAGTGGTGGCAAACCTATGCCACAGGTGCCAGAGGTGGCACTCAGAGCCCTCTCTGTGGGCATGCGTGCCATCGCCCCAGCCAGGCCCAGTCCATCATTAAAGTGTCGAATTCTCTGCCAAATAATTTTAAGTAAATGAAAGCATTTGGGATTGCTTTCCTTACTTTGTTTGGATCATCTTTTTTTTTGAGAGAGAGAACCAAGGTTTTTTTATTTCAAGAGAGTACAAAAATACATGCAGGCTTAAATACTCAAAGACGGTCTGATTTCAAAGTAATCTACTCATCTTTCTCTCTGCCAATGAAATGTTAACTTTCTTCCCCTTTTAATGGAAATGGGGAGAAGTCATTATGTCCAGTGAATCAAATTCACAGCCACTTCCTTGCATGGTTACTTAGAAATACGTCACATTGTGATGAGGTAAACATGTACTATATTGTTGCAAAACTGGGTACTTACACTTAGGAGTGTTGGCTTGATTCACAAAGAAGTGCCAAAGACCATTATTAAGGGTTTTAACAGGAGTTGCCAACCTCCAGGTGAGGACTGGAGCTCTCATTGGATCACAGCTCATCTGTTTGGATCATCTTAAGTTAATGTATGAGTTGTTTTTTCTAAAGTAAAACCTCAGTATTCAGGCTAAATTGCCGTGTTGGCACTTTGCGATAAATTAGTGGGTTTTGGGTTACAGTTTGGGCACTCAGTCTCTAAAAGGTTCGCCATCACTGCCCTAGACATTGCTCACAAGTCACAGAGAAAGCATTTAGCAGAACCAGAAATTTATTCCAATGTTTACAAGTCTCATAACTAAAAATCAGTTAAACATTGTATACATTCAACTACCATAACAGTTGCAAATGCTGACTTTATGTCTTAGTGGTGACAGCCTTAAATACTCGTTAAACCTAGAGCTGGGAGGCAGAGAGGTAGGGGGAGAGGCCTTGGATCCTTGTAAATATCCAGCCTTTCATGATCTCATGGATCATTAAGTAGAAGAGAAAGGCACTGTTGAGGTGGGCTCAGCTTGGCTTACAGAGGGTTCTGGTGCATTTAGGTCTAGAAGAAAGGAGGGAGATGGTAGGTCAGGAAGTATGTGAGCAAGGAAAGAGGGGGGTTGGGTTCAACTGGTGAGTTACAACAGGGTGGTGCATCCATGGCGCC